TATAAAAAGATAAAAAAATTCAATAAGATTTATAAAAATAAGTAAGAACTAAATTTTTTTTTAGAAGATTATATTTTCTTTAATAAAATAACAGGAATTTTAATAAATTTTTAAGAAATTTTTATATTATCTTAATGTAGATTAGTAATATATTATAGAAAAATACTTTTAAAATTATAATATTAAAAGATATCATTAATTATATATTATTATAGGTTACTGTCAGCCTAGAAAAAAACTTTTATTATAAGAAAGATTATAATTAACTTTAATTATATGATATAAGTTATAAAAATTATAATTTAAAAATAGTATTCCATACAAAGTATAGATTATTTAAATATATAATTACAATTTTTAAATTAATGAATATCTCTGCGGGATTTATAAAATATTATAAATTTTAAAGAGAATAGGATTATATATAAAATAAAATGAATATTATTTTACAGAATTAGAAGCTAACTTTCCAGAATTTATTATTAATTTTAAAAATATATAAATAATAATAAATTAATATAAAATAATCTATAAATAACCAGAGGCACAGAATATAAAGAAAATCTTATCACTTATAGATGTTATAAATTAATATTGCTAGTTTGTATAAAGATATTTATAAATATTTAATTTATTTATTAATCTAATTAAAAAATCTTATAAAAGAAAAAAAACCAGGTCTAGACTTTCTAATATTAAAATCTTGTAAAAGTTTTTATCAATTAAAAAATATATTTACAAAGAATATTATTATAGCTTATTTTTTTCCAAAAATAAGTATATATTGAAACTGATATCTTATTATTTATAAATAATAAAATATTATTATAAAAAAATAAGAATAACCAATAAATATTAGTTATATTTTACTTATAAAAACTAATTTTAATAAAATAGAATTCTAGAATTCTAGACCAGGAGCTATTTAGGATAATTAAAATTTTCAAAAAATAATATTATTAATTTGAAAAAGCAGATCTTACAATAAAAATTATAATAAATTATAAAATCCTGAAATACTTTATAACTAATAAAAAATTATTATAAAATTAAGTATAATAAATATAATATTTCATAATATTTAGATTTTATATTATATATTACTTAGAGATCTAGAATCCTGCAGACACCCTATTATAATATTCATTTTATAAAAGAAAAATACTTACAAAAAATTTTTGAAAATTAGAAAAAATAATACCATAACAGCTCTTTAATTTACTATAAATATATTATATAAAAATATATAATAATTAAATAAATTCTAATATGTAAAAATATTTTAATCCAGCAACAGCTTACAGAGAAAAAAGTAATAAAAAAATTATAATTTTTAAAAATTTTAATTTTATAAAGATTGTGGTGGGCAGGAATTAAAAATTTTATATAAAAATATTATTAAATTTATAAAATTAATTAAAGAAAAGAAATAATTTATAGAAAATAATAAAATCTGCTAGAACTATTTCTAGTAATTATAAAATTATAAAAAAAATTATAATAAACTTTATTTTTAATTTATTCATAAGTATTAATATTATAAAGAACTTATAAAAGATCTTTAATAATATTTTAATAAGAATAAATAAATATAATAAAATAATCTATTTTATTTTTTTTATAGAAGAATCTTACAGAAGAGAACCTCATGAGAATCTTTTTATAAAAGATATTTTAATTATATAAAATATCTGTGAAGATTATTACTAATTAAAATAATATATTTATAAGAAAATTCCAGTTAGATTTTATATATATTTTTATAATAAAATAGAAATTAAATATAATTTATTATTTATAAATAAATAATTAAATAAAATAATTAAATAGTATTCTTGAATAGTACTTATAAAATTATATAAATCTTAAATAAAATAACTAAATAGATCTTTTATTATTTATAAAATTTATATATAATAATTTCTTATAAATTTTAATTAAAAAATATTTTTTATATTATATCCATAGAATATCTGTGAATAATCAAACTCGATTTTTAGAAAAAAAATTAAAAAAATTAAATATTTCTATAAAAATCAAGAAAATTTAAGATATTTATAAGAAAATTAAGAAAAACTTAGCAGTTACTTATAAAGAATAATTTAAAAACATTATAATAAGTCAAATAATTTAATTCTTTATAAAATATTCTTTATAAAAGTAATTTAGCAAGAAACTAGATTTATAAAATAAATAGAGTAAATTTATAAGAATATTTTCATTTATAAGAAATTTTTATAAATATTATCCAGAGATGTTACTTATCTCATAATAATAAAATTAAATTATAAAAATTTTAATAAAAAAATATTTAATAAAAATAATACCTGAAAACCTATTATAAATTTATATTATTTATAATTATATATAAATAATATAACCGGAAGATAGTCTTTATTATTAAAAAATAAAAAAATAATAGAAATTATATTATAAAGATTAAAGAGATTATCTAATTTTTATAAATCTTAATTATTAAATATTCTTATATTATATATAGATAAAATATTAATTATAAATAAATAAATTATACTAGCTCCGCGAAATATATACTTTAATTAATATTAAAATAAACAAATCTTATAACCAGTATAAAAATAATTATTATAAAAATATAATAATAAGTATTAATATATACTATAAATATTAAAATATTATTTTAGTATTTATAATATTTATTATATTTTTAACTAGACAGGAGTCACACTCTAAATTAAATAATAAATATAATTTTATAAAATTAGATATACTTTTTTAATTATTTTTATAAAATAAACTTAGTAAAGGAAACAGAATAGAAAACAGATATTATTATTTAATAATATTTATAGGAAAAGAACTTAGATAAAATAATCAAATATATTATAAAAAATCTAGTAAACCAGGTATCTATAAATAATTTTATAAATCAATTTTAAATTAATTTAAAAATATCTGCAGGAGGCGGGGATAACCTGTAAATATAAAAAACTTTTATAATTAAAATTATTAATACATTTATTAATATATATTATTAACTGCAAATTCTATTTTAGTAGGAATTATCAATAATAAATATTATAGAAGACTAAATAATATTAAATTTATTTATAAAAATTATAAATTATTATAAATCAGTATTTATACACACACGGATATTTATAAGAATAAAATGATTTATTATAATAAAAAATATAAAAGTTACAGGTAGAGCTACAGAAGACATAAAAGAAATTATATTATTATCAATAATAATAATAAATAATTATTATAATTAATTATAAATCTAATTATACTTATGTAAAGGCTAAACTTACTATAAAAAAGACAAAAAAACTATAGATAATAAAAATAAATTAATAAGAAAAAAAATAATAATTATAAGATAAGCCTGTTTAACAGTAATGATATATTAATATATAATAGTAAAAAAGTATATTTTATATAAAAATATTATATTATATAAGATATAATAACTACCCACAAAAAAACTACTTACTAATCTTTATAAAAAGAGAGGTAAGAAAGAATAAAAAATAATTATATATAATAATAATAATAAATATTTTTATTTAACTTTATAAAAAATAATATTGAAATAATATTATTATAAGAATAAGAAAATATATTATAAAAAATAAATAATTAACTATTACAGAATATTTTCATACAAGAGAAAGAGAGCCGGAGAAAAAAAAGAACTATAAAAAAATTAAATTTTAAATAAAAGAAATTATATAAAATCTTACGAGAAATCCTGAGTCCTGAATCCTAATTTATAATTTAAAATAAATTTATTATTAATATATATTATATAATTTTGAAATAAATCTTATAAAAAATCTAAAATTCTACAGTAAATTATAGAGCCCTGTATATAATAAAATAATATTTTATATAATTTATAAAAAAATAATATATAAAAAAATTATAAAAATAACTGATCTGTACAGAATATATAACAATTTATATTATAAAAAATCTCGCGAGAGAGTACTACAGAAGATAATATAAAAAATCTTATAAAAATCCTATAAAATAAAAAAGTAAATAATTTTTTCTTTATTTAATTTTTTATAAAAATTTATGTACAGAGTTTTTAATAGTATTTAATTTATTATAAAAATTATTATATATTACCGGCTACTGCAAAATAAATTTATAATAAAATAATTATAAAAATTTAAATTTCTATAATTCTTATAATATTTAGTATTATAAGAAATATTTTTACTAATAATAATTCTATTATAAGACCTGGTTAATATTTCATATAATTTATAAATTATTTATAAATATCTTATTATTCACGGACAGAGATAAAATAGTTAGTCATAATCTCTTAAGAAAATTGATCTTGTATTTTAATATTTATAAATAAGATATATTCTTCACACTATCTTATTATATTTATCCTTATAACAGCTTTACTCCTGATAACTAGGTTTTTTATCACAGAGTCATGGTTATTGACAGTATAATCTATAAGATGTAATTATTAAATAAGAACCAGTATCAGATAAGTCTCTTAATATATTCCATAAATATTATATCTCATGTCTACAGAATAATGAATATTATAAGATTTTAGAAGTTATAACCATGATGATGCATCCGTAACAATAATAATTACTGATCTACTCAGAACTTATCACTTTCCACCTGTAGATTTGAAAGACTTGTATTATATAAAGTTTAGTTATATAATCTTACCTGGATTATATGACTAATAACACTGCGCGAATCATCTAATCTGCTAGATTACAGCCAGCCGGCTGCTCCGCTTCTAATATATAGACAGGCAGACAGATACGCAAGAATTAATTATAAGAATTGCATTAAAGGATATTTACATAAAAAGGTCAGTTTAAATAGCTCTATAACACCTTTTGTTGTAAATACAACATATTAATATAGGTAAGATTGTAAGCTTACCACTAAACCACTAGAGGCGCTTGTTAATGACTGTTGAAGTACATCTCCGGACATCCTTTTGCTAATATCAGGTAAGACAGATGATTTTATGTAGGGGGACTGATGACTGGGACATTGCTCTGCTGACTGGGGTAACTTGTTTAGGTTGCTAAACTATTAGAATCAGCACGAGCGAAGCAAGCAGTTATAATTGTCTGTTGATAACCCGGATATAGATTGTTATATTAAACATATTTATTGCCTGTATTATGCCTATGGAGGACAGATGACGACTGATTGTCCGGCTGTTGATCAGAGAGAGAACTGTTAAGTACATACACCCCACTAGGTATTTATGCAAGGGTCAACGAAGCCACTGCATGACAACTCTCATTGACGGCTAAATACCCCCATGAGTACAATACGTTAGTCTAAGGAAGTCATGAAGGATGCCCAGTCTGACTTGTCAGGCAACAATGGAATCTGTGGGGCTCAGTGTCAGCTACTGTATATTAGGCTGCGATGCAGCAACAGATGATCTGACCTTTGTTGAGTCCGTACACAGTACGAAGATGTAGTCATAGTTTTCAGCCTAACATGCCGGAGAAAGCCTACCAAGTCACAAGAAGTAGCCATTGGTGGGTACACCGCTAAACGGAATTGGAGCCCCTCAATGGATCCCAAACAGACAGCCAACAGCCTTTGCGCTCCACCCCCCTTTTTCTATTATTACACAGTAATCAGTACTCGACCCCGCTTTCCCATGGCTGTTGTCGTCATGTGGTAGATCATTTACCAAACCCTCTCATCATATGGCTTTCCCATAACATCATATTATTCGCTGTCAAAGCGCCAGGCCGTTCCTTCTGATTCATATTTGACTTGTAATTGCTCAAGCGCTAGGTCACCAGCCTCAACCTCTGATCTTGCTCCCAGCTATCCGGTGTTAGGCGTTTGGGATTAGACGCTGGCACGGTTCCCCTTTACTGCCACGCGCCAACCCCGCATGAACAATGTTGATGTATTTCATTACTGCTACTAGTAGTTCCCATCCGGCACATTGACTCATACGCCTGAGTGCCGGTTCTTACCCGTTCGATAGGAACCAGCTCGCTGTCCTACAAGTCTTAATTGATTCTGCTCCTCAAGGAACCCAAAAATTCGAGTAAACTTGGACACGCAATACGGAACACCAGGAGAAATAGATTGATTACTCATAATCAGTAACTCTAGCCTACTTACTCGGCCATTGTGAGCCTTATCGCCGAGACCCAACCAATATCCATTTATTGCCACCAGACAAAGAGGCGGCCCTGACAAATCATTTGCACGTGTGTCTGCCAACATTATTGCCAAACATCTGTTCCATTGACTTCCATATCACCATCTCATCAGCGTACAAACGTTCTTTCGCCTTCAAACAGATGACTACCTGAAACTGACCTCAGAAGCAGATTTCGTGTTGTATTTATTCTCAGCTAGTCGTCTCGCCACACATTCTGCTCACTTTTCCATTGTGAAGCAATCAAATCATCAGATTGTTTCAGGCGATGACCTCATTCACTGCTGCTTCTTTGACCAGTCGTGGTGATAAGGTCAATATGAGTCGTCTGCCGTCTGTTTCGAGTTTAATGTCCCCCCCAGAGTCCAAGCCCCTCGAGAGCTTCAGTCCCACCACAATTTCACCGTATACAATGTCCCAGGATCCGCCGTATAACCATGAAGTGAGGCTTCCTCCCATGCCGAGTGATCACAAGCGAACACAGTCGGAAATGAACTTGCCATCGCCGCCAGTCACTCCCTATACTGGGAATAAGAAACGGCGATCAAATGGACCAGAACCGATTGATAAGGATGTCGTCGTCGGTTCCTCCAGGGACCCTGTTCTCTTTCCCCGCCACGAAGGCCTTACTGATATTGCCACTGATGAGCCGTTGTTTGGGTCCATGCTCCCCCCATCTGCGGAAGCGTTGGTTGACCAGCATATAAATTCTCACATGGCGAGATTTGAAAATAAACTTAACAAGCCGACGCGTGACGAATATCTTCTAGCTCTTTCATGCGTGCCGATTGTATCTGCCCAATTTAACCGGAACCCAGCAGCATGGGCTAGGGAAGAGCGGGAGACCTTAGAACGCCAGCTTTTGATGATGAATCGGTGTCGTCCACGTGCTATGGATGCGAAGCTGAAGAAGATCGCTCCGGCTCCTGCAAAGAGGGCAGTTGCTGCCCAGCCTCGTCTGCAACGGACACCAAGGGTAAAGCGGACCCCAAAGTCCACACCGAAGCAAAGGATTCTCGAGACATTTGACTCACCCCCGTCAAGTGCCAAGCCGCCTCGCGCCATAGGCACAAACCGGGATGATACAGATTACAATTCCATCAAGGACTATTGCCCCTCAATAGAGACCCTAGGAGGCAACGCAAAGGCACTAAAGGCAGATTGGAAAGGCCAAGTGTTAGATCTTAGCCATGATCCGGATCGGCATTTGCTGAGCTCTGCAGAGCTCAACCTTGCTGCTACTTTAAGACTTTCATGTGCAACCTACCTATGCAGCAAGCGTCGCATTTTCGAAGCCCGGGTGAAGGCTTTGAATGTTGGTAAGGAATTTCGGAAGACCGATGCTCAGCAGGCTTGCAAGATTGATGTCAATAAAGCAAGCAAGCTCTGGACGGCGTATGAGCGGGTTGGTTGGTTCGATCCCGAACATTTCCGACAGTATCGAAGATAATATGCTTGGAACTGTTGAACCCTGTGGATCCCGATAACCTGCCTTCCCCATTGATATACTGGTAATGATGCGTCAGAGACGTGGTCGCATGTCTGTACCATCATTGGTCCAATTGCATTTCTCAACTCACAACTTTCGCGCCCGTCAATTAGCCATCGGATATTGGTACGGTACTTACATTTGTCACTGAGCATAGCTGGATTCTCTGCAACAAGTGGCAAGACTGCATACGGTGTTATATTGCTCTTTCTTTCCCCCATTTCCCTTTCGCTGCGTTAGGCCATCAGATACGGATGTTATTGATTCGATTCAACACTTGGCGTCTTCGGACAGCTTTCAATTACCCTCATTTTTTGTCTGGCGTTATTATTTCTCAAGGGCTGGAACAATTGGCTGCGATAGGTTAGGTTTTGTCTCTCACGTCGTTCTCCTGATCATTATGCCGTCGGCTTGCCATGGCGTCTAGTTTTCATTAGAGTGGTAGATTGTTTCTCGTTGCTCAATTGACATATTTTCCAAAAATAGGTATACAGTGGGGTAGCAATAGGTAGTATCGTAACAGTGACAATCCATGCACTGCTTTTGAGCGCATCAGAATCCTCGGAGCGTCCAAGAACAAAAATAATGTTCATGACAATGTAACAGTATCCCCCAAGCGGATGTCGGGATGTCAAAGCCCGCCAATTACGCAATCCCGTCGCCTGCTAAGCCTGCGCCACCATCATTCACCCTCAATCTCTATCCATCTTTATAATTACTCTCCCAGAATATCACTTCTTCTAGTGCTTGTGCAACTACTGTAGTAATTGCCCAGGACATTTGATGGAGGACTTGAACAAAAATGTCCCATCCCGAAGCGACCCGTGCGGAGTCTTTGGACGAGCAAGAACATAGGGGGGGAGCTGACGATAAGAAGTCTAAGAACAGGAGACCAGCAAGTGAGACTTTTGGCTCGTTCTGAATGAGATGGACTATTCTTTATTAACTCTAGTTTATCACCACAGATACTGCTTTCAGACAGCAGCGTTTGAAAGCCTGGCAGTAAGTTACTTTGATGGTATACTTTGCCCTCGTGCTGACGCATATAGACCAATATTGACCCCAAAGAGCGTACTGCCTCTTTTCTTTGTTATCGGTGTGATATTCGCCCCCATTGGTGGTCTCCTGCTATGGGCCAGTTCACAGGTATGTAATACCTCCCATAGGGCCTCTTCTCAATAACCAACGAGCGATCACCAGGTACAAGAGATTGTCATAGACTATTCTGAATGTGCTGAGAAGGCGCCCACCTCCTATGCAGCCTCGATTTCAGACCAAGTTAAATCTTCGTTCAAATCATCAGGCGATAATTCCATTCCAACGTGGCAAAGACTCAATGAGAGCGGCACTACAGTCTGTCGATTGATGTTTGAGATTCCGGATACCTTGGAGCCGCCTGTGCTTCTATATTATCGTTTAACGAACTTCTATCAGAACCATCGGAGATACGTTAAGTCCATGGACACAGATCAGCTGAAAGGAAAAGCAGTTGACAACAACACCATAAATGGTGGCTCTTGTGACCCCCTCAAACTTGACCCCTCAACTGGCAAAGCATATTATCCATGCGGCCTTATAGCCAATTCTCAATTCAACGATACCATCCGCAGCCCAAAGCTTATTAACAATGGTGTGACTGCTGAGACCTACAACATGACTAATAAAGGCATTGCTTGGGACAGTGACAAGCAGCTCATCAAGAAGACTCAGTATAATAAATGGCAGGTGGTTCCTCCGCCTAATTGGCACGATCGATACCCTAACGGTTATGTCGACGGTATACCTAACCTTCATGAAGACGAAGAGTTTATGGTATGGATGAGAACTGCTGCGCTGCCGGCTTTCAGTAAGCTATCCCGCAGAAACGACACGACGGCAATGACTGCAGGAATCTATCAATTGGACATTGAAGACCGTAAGCTTCCAGATCCAACTTAACATCAAGGTCAACGCTAAACGCGCACAGGCTTCCCTGTCACCGAGTACGGAGGTACTAAATCGATACTCATATCAACACGGACTGTGATGGGCGGGCAAAATCCATTCATGGGTATTGCCTACGTGGTTGTAGGTGGACTGTGCATTGTTCTCGGGGCATTATTTACCATTGCACATCTTGTTCGGCCGAGGTAAGGAGATTTGGTGAACTTAACGTGTTTTGTCCGCGCCTAGGCTGATTTATTAGGAAACTTGGCGACCACACTTACTTGACCTGGAACAATGAACAGGAGAGCTCGGCTGTGGCAACCGGGCGGGACGGCAGATTTGGTTCTCATGCTACTTAAGAAGCATACTTTCACTTTCCCCTTCACTTATTGTTCATCGATGTTGGTTCTGCTCTTGCTCTTCTTGGTCTGCGGACCTAACTTACAGTGTGAATTTATACTAGGCGTTTGTAGGTGGCGTTCCTAAAAAGGATCTGATGCCCACAGGTATTTCCCGTGGGCCTATGTTTTTATGATAGGTTCGACACATCTGTCTATCTAGGAAAAATAAACCGCACCTGCTAGTCGCTGTGCCCTTCCTGTTGGCGCGATATGGGAGAGTGTCAATCTTCTCGGCGAAACGCGTGTATCCCTTCTGTGGGACATTTCCCTGGCATGCAGCATTCCTGACACGGAGGATTGTTTGGGATCTTTCCAGATTCCATGTAGCGGTTGGCAATGAGGCTTATGATCTTATATCTCTCACCTCGTCTCTTGTCTTCGGTGCAATAGAAAATCTTCACTGCCCGATAAACAATATGACATTGTTATTCAACTTACACGCGCTCTTTACCGTCATTGTTGTTGCCAATCTTTCAACCAGATGCAGCGCACTGCTCTCTGGACGTGACTTTTGCTCCACACCGGCGCCCAATGAGTCACTCCGAGCAGAGCACAGGAGATTGTATGATCTACAGGCCCAACGTGGCAGCACCGCTGAGGAAAGCCGGGAGGTGGTGTCTATGATTGAAATCGAGACATGGTTTCATATCGTAAGCAGCAATGAAGCATCAAACACAGTATCAGACGACATGATTACCAGTCAGGTCCGTCACCGTTGATTTGTTGACTTATGCCTGCGCAATGTCCTGCGTTGGACTAACAACTCCTAGCTTTCCTATCTTCAGAAGGCATATGAAAGTGCGACTATCAGCTATCGGTTGGAGGGCATTACTCGTCATATAAATGACTCTTGGGCGCGGAATGATGACGAATTGGGGATGAAGAATGCCCTACGAAGGGGCAATTATAGCACTTTGAATGTCTATTTCCAAACAGATCTTCAGGCTTCTTCCGACGACACTTCCCGGGGCTTCCCCTATAACGGCAATCGACGAACAGATGTATCGGATCAATCATCAACAACTGTCCTTGGCTTCTGTACGTTGCCTGACCCGAGCGTGAATTCCAGCAGCCCTCGTTCTAGTTACATCAAGGATGGTTGTAACGTGTTAGCCGATACCATGCCGGGTGGTAGTTTAGCGCAGTACAACCAGGGCGGCACAGCGGTTCATGAGGTTGGCCATTGGAACGGGCTGCTGCACACGTTCGAAGGTGAATCGTGCTCCCCTGATAATGAAGGCGATTACATTGATGACACCCCTGAGCAATCTGAGCCTACGAGCGGATGCCCCGCCGAGAAGGATTCATGCCCAGATCTTCCTGGCCTCGATGCAATCCATAATTTTATGGACTATTCATCTGATGACTGTTATGAGAGTTTTACTCCAGATCAAGCCGAGAGAATGAGGAGCATGTGGTCCGCTATGCGGGAAGGGAAGTGACGGACGCATGCAGGGGTATATATAATTTGCACATATACCAGCTATAGATAGAAAAGAATGGTAGCACGAATATTAATGTCTCGTTTTCTGGTCCCCCGAGTTCCTTAGGAACTGACGATTACAATTTTTGAACATCTCGTACAATTCAGTATTAAATAGCGACTGATGCAGATTAAAGGCCACTTGTTCGAAATTCACAGCTAGCTGTCATGTAGTATGCGGGATCAGATCATCGCTTGCGCTTTTTACCACGATCTTCATCATCCAGACCACTTTCCCTGTCCTTTTTCTTTGCCTTCGTTTCGAGTTCGTCCCAGTCTTCGCCACTCTCTTCGTCGGCACTGAAGTCATCGCTAGCCTCGGCACTGGCATCATCGTCGAATTCACTGTCGTCTTCTGAACTCTCGTCGGCTGCCGCCAGCTCTGATTCAGAAAGCTCAAACGCGGACTCCTCGTCTTCGTCTGATCCGCCCTCTGAATCCGACTCTGCGGCCAAGAATGACCAGCCCCCGTCAGCGAAGAAACCGTATGGGTCACTTACGACTGTCTTCATGATTGTTGTCCAGTTTAAGTTCAGTGGACCCTCTGTGAATGCGATATCAACAGAATCTAGCCAGTCTTTAACACCCTCTAGCGATTCGACAGGGATTGTATTGATATGAACAGGGGCCCTGTGGAAATCCTTGAAAACAAAAACCAGGTCAAAGTTTTTGAGTCCAAACTGGTGACATTAGCAGCAGTAAAATACCAGTGGTAAAATTCGCACTTACCTGTACTCTCTCTAAATGAGCAATCTCTACCTCATTCAGAGTAATCACCAGGAAGGGCGGCTCTGTCAATTGGACAAGAGCATCTGTTGTGGGTTGAATCAAAACATTAGAGCGGTTTGGTACGCCAGTAAAACCAATTTCTCTGAAAGGGATGTCAACATCCACGCTTTCGTCTTTTCCGGCATCTGCAATCTTTTCGGCGAAAGCCTTGAACTCCCGATCCAGAGCGGCTCTCCGCCGTCTCTCTTCCTGTTCGGCTTCGAACTCCTCTTCATCCCCATAACGATGCTTGCGCCTACGATTGCCGGTTTCATCAAACTGCATTTCGGTTGCCTCCCGGTAGAACTGCACATCTCTAGTCTTCCTTTTCCCTATCATAATAGGTGTTTTCAGATGAACATGTATCAGAACAATCAATTCGTGAGCGCAAGGTTGGAAGAACAAGTGCTTCACGTTGCTGAACAGGACATCTACATGTTCATTTCGAAAAGGTGACATGTAACGAAGACCGTTCTGATGGATCTCAACTTCCCCTGGAACACGTTTACCATCCAGAGGAGGCCGAAGGTATACATCAGGCAGTTTTACAGGACGACGATCTAACCTAGTCAGTCCCCGTGCATTCAGATGGTTGAGTAGCAATACTTACTCCTGATTTCAACCAACTTGTCTTGTTCTACCACATCTTCCATTTCCTTCTTCTCTTGTTCCCGCCGCAGAGCATTCTTTCGAAGTTCTGTGATGTCTTGAGCGATCTGGGCCAGTCGGTCGTTGTCCTTGGACCGGAGTGTCAAATTGCGCAGAAAATGTGCGGAGAGGTCTTCGAAAGGCTGATCATCCTTTCGGCCCACGCCTTGACCCGGTGAAAGGAAATTGATTCGGAGATACGCATACTCTCCCTCATCACTTTTGCTAGCATTTTTGATCGTGTTAATATGGAAGGGTACTGGCCGACCCATAATTGGCACAATAACCGTGGAAGCCTTCTGATCTACATAAACGGTTAGGTCTTTCACCCTCGTTGGGAGCTGATTGTCCCTCTTGTAAGACTCGAATCTCTTGAACTTTTTCTGTGTGACTCCGTTATCATCGCCAGTCGTACCGGCAAATCTGTCCAGACCTTCCTTGGTCTTTTTGCCAGCCAACTCCTTTTGATGCTCACGTCGCCGTGCTTCGGCACCTTCATTAATCTGAGTGGGTCTTTCAGCACGAAGCTTCGTTCTCGTAACATTCCTATTGGCAACAGAGCTTGATTTCGCCTCCTTCTTCTCCTTTACTGGTCTCTGTGGCTCTTCTTCATCCCCAAAGTAGAACGATACAGAGTCCATGTCAACACCAGCATCTTTCGTAAACACCAGAGGCCCGGTTTCTCCGACGCGAACAGTGTCTGTAATGATCATCGAATAAACGGTTCTATTCTTGTCTTTGATGCTCGCGTCTTCAACGTCAGTCAGACCAACTGTGACAGCAAATGTCATTCCGCTCTTCAAAACTTTATCGTTCTTTCCGTTAAGAACCATATTAGCGTCTCGAAGCTCAATTCCTATGCCAGCGCCGACAGTTTTCAGGAAATGAGATTCAAGTTCAGGCTTCTTTGTCCGAACCATATTCATCGCCTTGCTGTATAGGTCCTTAGCCACGGCCCCGTCACGGACGTCTTTCAAAATCGCTTCGCGGACGCTTAGCAGAAAGGCGTAATTTGCCTCCTGAGTTTTCGTCGGGTCAACTAGGTAGGTGCGTGCAATCATCGAACTGTAGGTCTTATAACGAATGCCGAAGCCAGCAATTATTATCCCCGGCTGCAAATTGTTGTTGTCGGATATCGCAGTCAGCTTGAGATCATATTTCCCTCCACTTTGGATCACTGGTCCATATGCCCAATCGATTTGTTGGGGGTCAAATTCGGCCGGCAATTTCGCTAACTTGTTGAAGAATTTTGCATCGTCTATTTTCGCATCAATCCGCATTGAAAGAGCTTTGTGGCTCATCTGCTTCTCTTCATCAAGTAGGCGGGACATTTCATCCACGAAGTACTCAGACATCAGACCACTGCATGCCCGCGATGCATTACGTATAGATACCTTTGTCATGTCAGCCAATCACACCTCCGAAGACATGTAAAACTTACTAATTCATCAGTATCCTTGACAGAGAGAGTAGCTGAAAGAGCGGGCGAAATATCAACTTCCTCAACTTCATTTGACAATGTTGCATAAGCCTTCTTCCAATCTTCTGCGAAAGGACCTGCGGTTGTGTCTTTCGGCAATACGCCAACTTTTTTCTTATCATTTCAGGACAGTCAGTTCCATCCAAGATCGCTAACGCTGAGGACAGTAGGACTCACACCAGCATTTTTGATAACGTCAATGCACTTTTCGAAAGATTTCATCTTCTCATCTGGAGTCTTGGATGTCACTAATATCTCAACCGGAATCTTGCCACCTTTCAAGGGTTCAAGGTGCTTGGCTGCAAACAAAATGTGCATGTCAGTAATCGAGGCCATGCTGAATTCACATCTTATGATAAAACTCACCTTTCTTCGCGGTAGTCACCACATACACCATCTCCGTCGTAAAAACAAGAAGCGTAGCCGGAAATTCATAGCCAAGGAGCCAGAACTATTTATGATGGCAGGTGAGCCGACAAGAATAGAATTAAGAGGTAATGAAAGACATACGTGCATTGCGTTGTTCTTCTGAAAGCTGTTCGCTTCGTCGGTTTTGCCCATTAGGATTACAATCGACGACACACCACCGAAACTGGCATGACTAGATCGTTTGTCGGCTTTCCATGCATTATAGAAGCTTGATAATCTATTGAAGAAAGTAGATTTGTCTATCACAATCTCTTCGGCCATGATGTGAGTGTATCAATCGGTGCAGCCTGCCAGCTTGGCGTAAACTTCAGCTTGTGCAGAAAGTCCCCGTAGGAACCTTAGAAGGTAGGGTGGGATTTAGTGGAGGTCAGTGAGCGAAGTTTCGTGATGAGAAATTCAATGTACCAGATTTGCGGAAGGTAAAGAAAGAGATATACTGGAGAATATCTTCACTTGAGCAATGGAAGAGAGTAGATTGAAACTCATCGACTAGCTCTTACTTCTGTAGAAGAAACTAAGATAGGGTAGCGCAAACGCGAAACCTCCGAAGGCGCGTTCGCTCAAGTGTTCCTGACAAATCAGCGGTGTTTGAGTTGTTTGCTCAAAAGTACCCTTCCATGCTTAGTACCTCTCCACCTCAAGGCTAAATATTTCATCTCGGACATTGACTTCCTCAGTATCTCGTGGGCTATTCACTTCTAGCTCCTCATATGAAGCTGCCATTCTATTTAGTCATCAACAGTTTTCATCATAGCTATCCTCACCTTACGAGTTAGCCCTCATTCAGTGTATGATGTGCCTCTAGTTAGGACATCTTTCATGGAATCTTGCAGCGCGGGCTGGCAATGTCACTGGAATAAGCGCTATGCTTATATTTGTACATCACTGATAAACTGTCACCTCTAATGCTTTCTCACACGCCTCAGCATGGCCACTACTCAGACATTACCCGCATTTGATCATACCTCGAGCTTGGACTCGGGGAATCCGTCACGCAGAAAATCGCGACAGAATGCAGCTACTGGTGCCTCTGCTGCGGGGGTGCGTGCTCTTAGTGCACAATTGGTTGCATTTTACTTCAGAGCACCTATCAAGGCATTTTTTCGCACCCGAGTTGAGTATGATACCAGACTGTCTCATAAGTATTGTCCCTTCAGTGACTGACAGCCCATGCTCTTGTTCAGTTATATGGTATGCGGTTGCATTGTTCCTTCGCCGGCCTGGTTGCACTGATCTCTGGAGTCCATGTCAACTGATATATATGGCTCTTCCTGTTATTTCGCTAGGCCTTCGCTAGAGCTGTCAATCCTCATTCTGCGAAAACCGGTTGGTCTCTGCACACAACTACTCCGGGGTTACTTGTCCATGCCGTTCGCACATATGGGTGGCGCTTCATCCCTAATCAAGTTATGCCACCTCTCCTAGCGAATGCTGGGTTGGTTTACCTAGTCTCAAATTTGGTTGCCTGGGTTGTCTAACTGTTATAGATAGAATTGGAGCCGTCCTTTACACGTCATATCTACAAGTCCTTGGCGCTTTGTACGAACCGGCGTCCCAAGGCATCAAACGCGTATATCCACCTGCTCCCCCTTCAAACACATTTGCAGCTGGGTTTATAGCGGGTACAATTCAGTCAGTAGTAGCCGCTCCTCTGGATGCGCTTCAGGTCCGTCTCCGAGCGAGTGACTTGCTTGAGGGCCCATACAAGAGCATGTGGCATTATGGCCGCCATAAACTCAATCAAATTGGAGTCCGTGGTATATTCGCAGGGTGGGGTTTATCCTTCACTCGCGACGCTTTTGGTTATGCAGTATTTTTCTCTTTCTTCGAGTTCGTGAAGTCGCAGGCCTACTATTCATTTCTGACCTGGTACTACGGCTCACGGCGGACTCATTACGCGGAACAGTTACAGCACATCCAATCGAGTGACCGCGGCGTACCGCTCATAAGGCCACATTATGCTCTGGAGCCATGTTTCTTGATGGCTGCAGGTGTTGCAGCTTCAGTTGCTCAACAGAGTATACAGCACCCGCTAAGTGCTATCCAAAGTCTCCATGTTGCTCGCCTGGAATACATTGACCATCAAGCGAGTCTTCATCCTTCAAGACGAGAAATGCTACGCCTGTATTACTCTGCATACCAAGAAACCTTGAAGAGATGCAGGAGAAAGGCATCCAGAGCAGGTGGCTGGCGTCGTTGGCTGTTCCGTGGGTTTGCAAGGGACGCCATCCGTCAAGTACCTAGCACTAGTGCAGGCTTGGTGATATTCGAGCTGGTGCGTCGTAAGTACGCTAATATGGCAGACGCTGTATATATCCAGAAAGATGGCTATGACATTCTTTTGACATGATAAATATGCTGGTTTAATCATTGCGCTTCCCCCAGGGGGAAGAAAAAGCCATTGGCTATCGAGAAACGATGTGTAGTGTGTTCGGTATAACCGCTAAGTTGATTTCGAATAGAAAGTGTCAAGATGATAAACGTTCATTGTCGCTCGTGGTCCATGAAAGCTAGGTATACATAGTAACGACGAGTAGCAAAGGGGCTACCGGTGCATGATTACTATCTACTAGAATCAAAACAGGCGATAAACAACAATGTTCTTTAACCAACGATGTCCTACAAAATAATCATAATTTTCTGCCAACACATACAAGGAGTCTTGTCTACTTGTGTGCTCCAGGCGATAGCCGCAATGACCAGCCAGCTTTGCGTCACTCCTTTTGAAGCATTTCATTGTATCACGAGTAATTAGCCGAGACACCACAAGCCTACAATTACAGGTCTATATATAGGAGTGTATAATACAGAGATCGATGATGCGATACTGATTCCTGGGTCTATATGGGCTCTTTTCACATAATCTAGGCTCTAAGGGATCCACCCAAAGATATGCCTTGCATGACAGTATTGTTAAAACAATACCACCAAATGAGATGTTATATATATATAGTAAGAAATGAAAAGCGACCCTTGTACGTGAGAATCATATAATACCGCGCCTCATATTAAGTCTTCTTGATCTTCCTAAATATCATTAGGCACGTACTGGAAGGGTACCCTCGTTGATCGCACCGCCACAGATGGAATCGCTGATGGGCACTGCCGGTAACATGGTTGGTACACTAAAATACTACGTAGTTTACTGGGCAGAATCTCGTACCCACTTAGCGTCAGTGTTTGCGGGGTCTCCGAGAACCCCATCAAGGTACGTAACGGTAGTCACATCGATGGCTTGACAGCTGCCTCCCTAAATCATGGCTAGTCCCCCTGGGAAACCCAGCAAGCAACCTTGGGACGATTTTATGTACACAAGCCAAAGGTTACCTCTGGACTGATTGCCAAACATATGCCATTCAGCCTTACCTCATCTGCTTTCCTTTCTCCCCTCTTAAGTTTCTCACCTGATCATTTTTAGGCTGTTGGACCTCCGGGCACCGTCATCCTGCGCTGTTGATCTGCCAAGTATTGCCTGTCTCGTGAGCAAACCCCCCAAAGGATTGTCATCACCGCTTTCTACACCCTTTCGGTATCCTTGTGAACAGTTGGTTCACCTCACTCGCTTGTCTCCGCTTTGGCGCGTGGTCTTCCATCCTATTGCAGCGATTACTCTGCACCGCTGTCCTTCTGATCCATCCCTTTCAAATAGATTAGCAGTTGTCTTTACATGCCGCTTTGATGAAAACTCACAATTCGGATTGTTGCGGAGCGTTACGAAAATTACCAGCCCTCCTTGATTTTTACTCGCAGCGATCTTATATTCTGGTCGCGTGAAAGAGTGGTGACAGAAAGAAAAAAGCTAATATTCAACCAAGAAAGGGGGGCTGTAAATCCCAGCCCATTACAACCGCCAACATTCCTCTCACAACGACCCCGACCCATACTTCCTCTGGCATACCCTTGCAAACTCTTCCTTCAAGTTCAAGGTCCTCTGTCCCTCAACCCGCTAAAGTAGTAGAACCTGCTAGTGGGAGGAGCAGTCGACGCTCTTCCTCTATAGCGACTCGCTCCACTGGGTCTGAGCATTTTACCTGGACTGACAGTGGAGATCTGACGGAACAGCTTGCTAATGCCGAAGATTATCTTCGCATCCCACTCAGAAGCTCTGAAGATCGTGAAAGCTCTGGTCGGGTGGAATCCAGTGTACGGACCGAGAAACAGAATCGTGTCCATTACCCCAGCCAGCTTGTTATCGGCGAAGACGACGTCGAGAAGATTGAAATACCCTGCCCTCCACCCCGGAAGATTCCTCGGGCAGAGCGCCTCTTAGCTGTCATAATGTCACCCAATAATCGACAAAGCGCACACTTGCATGGCTTGGTTGGGAAGCCATTACTGTAAGAGGTTTCGTCATCGACAAATGCTACCTACTAGCTCTGCTGACCAGCTATGTAGGTACTTTACGAGTGTTTTCGTATCCTTGGGCGTCTTCCTTTTTGGCTATGACCAAGGTGTTATGTCTGGGATCATAACGTCCGTCTTCTCTTTCTTCAACGGAATGGAGGGCTTTGCTGACACACGATCAGAGGCTGGTATTTCAAGGATTACTTCAATCAACCCTCGCGAGCTGCAATAGGTACGGTGGTTGCGATCCTCGAAGTAGGGGCTTTCATATCTTCTTTACTTGTGGGTCGACTCGGCGACTTAATCGGACGCCGCAAAACGATCCTGTATGGCTCCATAGTATTCTTTATTGGCGGTGCATTGCAGGCCTTTGCTACCGGGTTGCCTATGATGATGGCCGGTCGAATCGTCGCAGGTTTGGGCGTTGGGGCCTTATCGACAATTGTACCTGTCTACCAGTCTGAAATATCGGTATTCACAATCACCCTTGTTGCATGATGCTTCGGTTGATTTGCTAATGTTCTCTAAGCCTCCCCACAACCGAGGGAAACTGGCATGTATCGAGTTTACAGGGAACATCTCCGGATACGCAGCCAGCGTCTGGGTGGATTATTTCTGTAGCTTTATAGAAAGTAATTACTCGTGGCGCCTACCATTATTGTTCCAGTGCGTCATGGGTGCTCTTCTTGGTGTGGGTAGCCTCATCATTTGCGAGTCGCCAAGGTGAGTCCATGCGTGATGCAGGAGAAAACTTAGCTTTTCACCATGCTAATGCAAGACCAGGTGGCTGTTGGACAATGACCACGATGAAGAGGGTATGGTTGTCATTGCAAATCTATATGGAAGTGGAGATTTGCACAGTGACAAAGCCAGACAAGAGTATAGAGAGATCAAGATGAACGTTCTTTTGCAAAGGCAAGAAGGCGAAAGATCTTACGCTGATATGTTCAGGCGTTACTACAAAAGGGTCTTGATAGCGATGTCGGCACAGGCCTTAGCTCAGCTCAACGGTATCAACGTCATCTCGTATTATGCCCCGCTTGTATTCGAATCAGCAGGTTGGGCTGGCCGTGACGCTATCCTAATGACTGGGATCAACGCAATCTCGTATCTGGCCTCTACAGTACCTCCATGGTATCTGGTGGATCGCTGGGGGAGGCGCCCCATCCTTCTTTCTGGAGCGGTGGCAATGATTGTTTCACTCTCCCTGATTTCCTATTTCATATATATCGACGTCGTGGCAACACCTACTCTCACTGTCATCTTTGTCATGATTTACAATGCTGCTTTTGGTGCATCATGGGGACCCATACCATGGCTCTACCCCCCGGAAATTCTCCCATTGAGCATTCGTGCAAAAGGCGCAAGTCTTAGTACAGCCACTAATTGGGCTTTTAATTGGCTTGTCGGAGAGGTCACGCCTGTTTTACAAGCTGCTATCAAGTGGCGCTTGTACCTGGTGCATGCGTTTTTCTGTGCCTGCAGCTTTGTCCTGGGTAAGCGCCATGTCGATTTTTCCATCATTAACCAAAAGTCTAATACATTACTACAGTTTACTTTTTATATCCGGAAACGAGTGGTGTCCGCTTGGAAGACATGAATTTGCTGTTTGGGGATGCAACTACTGCCATGCCAACACCAGCAACTCAGGGAGAACGTGGCTCTCTCATGAGTGCAGGCTCTCCTGTACCTTCGCTTGACATCAGACGCCAGTATGGCCGTCTGGGGGCAGACAGCGCCATTCCTGGCTTGGACATTGATCCACCGAATGTAAGTTCTAGTACCGGTAGCAAGCCTGGCAGGACAGGCTTCCGGGAAGACACTAGTAGTCGACCAGAGGGCTTTGGAGGCTGGATTTCAAATATGATTACCCGACACAAAGGATCGGAATCAACAGGACAGGCCGGTCAGTATAGACGTCTTGGGCAGGAGGAGAATGAGTAGGGCCACCGCGTATGGTCCAGTCTCATGTAACAGATACAGACATATAAACATCCTGTTGCTGTACCTACCTCTTTCACTCTTGTTTTCTCTTTTCATCCTTATGTACACCGACTTAACTGTATTCTTTTCCTTTTCTCATGGACTGACACTAGGATATTCTCGACCCTGGTCTCGCATATTCTGATCTTGTCGAGGCTCTATTTCGATTTACTGCACCGTTTTCTCTTTCTGGCATCATCTACATGTATGCATGTAAATATATACCGAGACGTATACCATGCCCCAGAATAGGTTTTAAAGCATGACGGTTTGTGAAATGTTTGAAGCGTGAGGCACATATCGCGCGATATCCTACTCCGTGACTTCAAAAATGAGAATCCGCGTGCAACTTTCATCTCGAAGACTCAGTGTTATCAAGGGCCTTTCAGGCTCAGAGGTATTTCTCTGACTTGCATATTATGCTGCCACAATCCATCGATGTGGAAGGGTGGTCATAAACGATCAGAGAAAAATAATTTCTGGTCCCCTTGCTTATCATAGTACCAACGAGGTTATCGAAAAAGGAAAGAAAATTATTTCGCACGTCTTATGCCGACCTAGATACATGAGAAGCTTGGGAAGCTTACCATGGCACGCACTTGTGTCCCTATGTCAAACAAAGCACCCTGCCTGTCATAGTGATAGCGTAGACGTTATTCGTCTAGTTTCGGGTTTACGACCCTCGTTGCGTACACACAGCCAGCGTAGATTCATTCATTATCAATCTATACCCCGAACCATCTGCGAATTGTCCGTGGCTCCTCATGCCCTGAAGCTAAATCAGCAGGCAGATCACACCGCCTTCCTCCTCCTCCTCCTCCCTGAATAGAGGTGGAGAACCTTATACATTCGAACATGGAATGTCTAACCAACAGCCGGTGAGGTAGGATACGCTGACTCCACAAGAATGTTCCCATTCAAAACTTGTGCGTTGCATGATTGCATTCGATTCGACATATTGGCTTTCGTCTCCGTGAAGTTTCGCAAAATACCGTAAAAGGCAAACTTCATCGACTCCATGGTACCTGCCTGATAAGTACTTTTCGTTAATAGACTATCAGATGCCTGTTCTACTGGTGATACTCAGTTCAGTTTGAATCTAAGGAGAGCAGCAAAAGCTGGAATCGCCAACCCACGGCAATCTCTCTTTTTTTTTTTTTTTTTTTTTTTGGTCGCATTTCTTTAATATCTTTAATCCGCGACAGTGAGGCACGACGGTGATGAATCATGACAGTAATCAAGCCCGGCTAGTTAAGTATGGGGAAAATTGGAGAACCAGTTGAACAGTAAGGCCACTTCGAAGCATCTGGGACCAAATTTCTGTCCAAGGATGGGAAGGTTGACCACCCTTTGAACAGTCAGTACAGTTTCCATTGTAGAGGTCATACACATATATGATGCCACAAATGGCAGTGACATACATGCCTGCCCCCATTAGACACGCTATACCTCTCTCAGTAATTCGCCGTCATTGCCGACGAACAAGACGGAGGATGCAGTCGAGGTTTCAGAAGTGGCCCAGGCGGAACGGAGCTTTCAGGCCACGCGCCCGAGCTTTCCGTGTTATCTCCAGGCCAACTCGCCATTTGCGCTTCCACTCCGTCTTACATTCTGAGTAGGGAACCCTTCGAGAGGCTGACTTTCTTTCCCACCCTCAACATTCGACCCCTTTTCTTTTGCTTCCGATCTTTCTATTCTTCCCTTTCATTGCCTCAAATTTTCAGATTGCCTTTATCAATTTAACAAACCTTCCATTCTTTACCTTACTTTACCCATTTGACCCTGGTTAAGCGGTGTCTGCTCAATCTATCCTGATTTCCCCTCCATACTTTTGCCTTGTGTTCTCAAGGTACCTTCTCATCGGCCCCTCTCTTTTTTCTTCTTTCTTCTCTCCAGACTCTCAACAAAAGCTGGAGTCCTGCACGCTAGACCAATCATTGTGATTTTCTCATAAGAAATGTTTGCAACTCACACCTGAAGTCAATCCCAGCGAGCTGCTCTACATTCAACCAGCTTCCTGTGGCAGTCTGATACTCTCTACTTGCTTTCTCTTTCGCCACTACCTGTCCCCGCATTTGTTTAGCTGCCCATTATACCGCAATTATGGCGGGAGTAAACCAGGCGTCAAGCTCTGGGGTTGATCTCTCCTCTGAAGTGCGGCGCAGAACTGCCCCTCTTACGCAGGAGCCCAGCCGTGCTCCTGATCATGATGCATATGATGCCAAGAAATCGAAGCAAGAGGTATGATGCTCGCCTTAGACCGAAGCTTCATAAAGCTTTACTGCACCTGATAGCCGTTAATATTGACGCGTATCTTAGCCCTCCTCGTTTCGTTCTGCGCTGGCCAGCTGGGAGCCTATATTTGCGCCTCTCTTTCTGACTGCTCTGGCAATTTTCACTCGAATGTATCAAATTGGTCGTTCAGATATCGTGACATGGGATGAGGCACAGTAAGACCAAAAACCTCTCTATCTTAATCTTTCTTTTTGCCAGTATAGAGTGCTAACGTCTTGTCCTGATAATAATATGCAGCTTTGGAAAATTTGGCTCACACTATCTGAAGCGCGAATTTTATTTTGATGTACACCCGCCTCTGGGGAAGATGCTAGTTGGCTTGTCGGGATTTCTTGCTGGTTATAATGGCTCGTTCGAATTCAAATCCGGTGAGAAGTATCCCGAAGACGTCAACTATACGTTCATGCGTGTTTTCAATGCGGCTTTCGGAGCGGTATGTGTCCCGCTTGCTTACTATACCGCACGGGAGCTGGGTTTTCGCAAGGCTACTGTCTGGCTTATCAGTCTGATGGTGCTATTCGAAAACTCGTATGCCACCATCTCGAGATTCA